CTCTGGCATGGTATCTATACCTTTTTTCTTGCTTCTGCAAAAGGATCACTTATGCATTGCGTGTAGTCTGGGTAATACCAACCATTCTCAGTGCAGTTACGTTTGGCAATACCTACAACAAAAGAAAAATAATATATGGAGTGTACATTAGAGTCATTTTCATCCGTCTGTAAAATAGGAATTATACTATTAAATACTATTACCCCCTATTAGCTCCCAATACTTTAACTTATAACTAGGCAAAAACGGTTTTGATGTTGCGTTTTGGTTGTCTACTACACCCTAATACACTGGAAAAAATCGCGCGCTTTAAAGGTTGTAAATTTGATGTAAATATTATGTAAGTGTCCAAAATGATGTATATTTGATGCAAATTTACATCAAATTTAAGCATCAAATTTACATCATTTTGGACACTTACATAATATTTACATCAAATTTACAACCTTTTAAAGTGAACGATTTTTTCCAGTGATAGTTACTATTAAACACTGACCAGTGATAATTGTTTCACAGACGGATGAAAATGACTCTAAAAGCGTGAAAAAGGACTAGTCAAATAGTGCAAGTTGTCTTTTTTGTACCTTTAGCTCCTCTTGGGCATTCTGCGATAGCTGTCTCATTTACCAGCATGTCAGACCACGTGACATTGAGAAATTCACCAGGACAGACTGAAAGTAAACCAAATGATAAAACATTGTAGTTAACTCTAATAAGCGATACAGCGACGAAAGCCGTTGAAAAAAAACTGCGAGAGACAAAGTGATGAGATAAGACTGGCAACGAAAGAACTTATTCAAATGCCGTATCTTAAATTTAGCGCTTATCACATAAATAGTGAACAAATTAAAGCCGCATTTTAAATGTGATACTAGTTTTAAAGGCCGATTTTGACCTTTTCGGTGCAACTTTTGCATACAACTATCGCATGTAGTCATCCTTACAACATGGCTACAACTGTCGTTGGGTTATCAAACAATTGTTTTTAATCTTTACGACAGTTGTAGCCATGTTGTAAGGATGACTTAAGCATGTTGCATGCGATAGTTGTAGGCAAAAGTTGTACCGTCTAAGTCGGCCTTAAAGAAATGTATGGTAGTGTCGTGAATGTGCCCAGAAAAGTTGTCAAAATCCGTACACGTTGCCCATTCATGACCCAAGACAAAGTGAAAGTGTTTCTAGAACACGGCTGTTGCTTATTCTTGCAAAGGAGCAAAGTCCGGAACTTTTTGACCATAACCTTTCTTTTTCATGTTATCCAATAAAAGGGAAGTACCTTCAGTTTTGTCTTTGAAGTAATAAGAGCCTCGATCGACAGGAATTGATCCAAATTTTGCGGTTTGTATGTTTTCCTCTAGGATCTTCTTGGCTCTGTCTCGGGTCGAGTTGGTTGTCTTTATTAAGACATCAGCTATTACTGAACCAGACCTGAAATAAAACAGAAACAAAGTCGGTGGAAATAAAAATAAAATGTATGACGCCATTTTGTACAATATATATCATATGTATAATATCAGAATGATCGACTTACCGTGCGGATAATAATGTCGCTCCGTAAAACCCATAGAACTCGTTAAAGACATAGCTAAGCTGAAAAAATAAATAAATAAAAGAATAAAAAATAAAAAAAATAAAAAAAATGAAAAGTTTATTTGCTTTTGTGCATATATATGGCGTCCAAAATCAAGAAGAACGAAAAAACAGCAAGAAAAAAAACTGAAATAAATAAATAAAAACTTACGGCTTTATTAAGTCGACTTTGTAAATCTCGGAACTTAACGGAGCCTTTGTCTTTATAATCATCGCTGTATTTTTCTTCGCTTAATTTAACCACCAGTGAAAAAAAGCTCATGGTTTCCTCTGAATGTATGA